ATATCAATCCTTTTCCTCCTGTGCTCCTAAAGATTTTTAAGGAAAACAGGACAACCCAGACCCATTGGTTGTGTCTCCACCAAAGCCATCCAGGAGGCAGGACCTATGTAAAGTAGTCCCTGTGGCTCCCAGTTATCCAGGGAAAAGGCTGGAAGATGTCTGGATCACCTGTCTATGCCTTATAGGGAGTAATGCAAAATACACTGTGGTTACCAATGAGTACTCCGAAACCTTCTGTGTCCTCATGTGTTGTGGGGTAGGGTTGGAATTATAGCACTTCCCTCTGGGGTAAGGGTGGAAAACTTGGGGATGTTCAGGCTGGAGATGAGAAGGCTCCAAGGAGAACTAAAGGTCCCTTCCAGTGCCTAAAAGGGCTCCGAGAGAGCTGCAGAGGGACAAGGCATGGAAGGACAGGACACAGGGAATGGCTTCACGCTGCCAGAGGGCAGGGATAGATTGGGATATTGGGAAGGAATTCCTGGCTGTGAGGGTGGTGAGACGCTGGCACAGGTCGCCCAGGGAGGCTGTGGCTGCCCCAACCCTGGCAATGTTCATTCCAGGTTAAATAAAGCCTGGAGCAACCAGGTCTGGTGGGAGCTGTCCCTACCCAGGGCAGGCAGTTGGGATTAGATGATCTCTAAGGTCCATGGAAGGTGTCCCTGGGTGGGACCGAATGGGCTTTAAGGTCCCCTCCAGCCCAAACCATTCCACGATTCTGGAACCTCTCTGCCATGGAGCCAGGCTGCGAGAGCTGGGAATGTCCAGCCTGGAGACCAGAAGGCTCCAGGGATACCTATGAGCCCCTTCCAGTGCCTAAAGGGGCTCCAAGAGAGCTGGACAGGGACTTGGGAGAAGGGATGGAGGGACAGGACACAGGGAAAGGCTTCACAGTGGAAAAGTGGAGATTTGGGTGGGATATTGGGAAGGAATTCCTGGCTGTGAGGGTGGTGAGACGCTGGCACAGGTCGCCCAGGGAGGCTGTGGCTGCCCCAACCCTGGCAATGTTCATTCCAGGTTAAATAAAGCCTGGAGCAACCAGGTCTGGTGGGAGCTGTCCCTACCCAGGGCAGGCAGTTGGGATTAGATGATCTCTAAGGTCCATTCCAGCCCCTTAACACACTATGGAAATAATTCAAGAGACATTCACTTCCTAGGGTTAATCCATCTGAAGATATGGAAACACCCTCTGTCCCTCAGTCCCAGCCTGGTCAAGAAGGTCATCCAGCCTTAACCCATTTGAGGCTTCCCTCAAGAGCCTCTGCCAGGACCCTCTGGTCATCTCTTCCACCTCTCCCCCTGCCAGGGGTGTGGAAATGGACTTTCCCAAAGAACTCAACTTTATCCCAGTTGTCTCCCAGCTAGGATTTTGGCTCTACTATGACTCATGATTCCAACTCAGCCTGTGCCAATCCTTAATTCGCGGTAACCTGATCCCATAAATGCCTCATTGTTCATTGAGGTGACACTTGTGCTTTCATTCCTGTATTTATAACGTGGTTAATATCCCTTTTTACGTGGATTTTCTTGGATAATATGAGTCAGCATGATTCCCTCTTCCTCCCCCCTTACTCAGCCAGACACAGCTCAGAGGGGAAGGAAAACCGACTGCAAAATGAAAGGTGGTTCTAGCCTCGTGGTGGTGATGCTGATGGATATCCATTGGCTATGGAATCAGCAATGGAATCTTGGCATGGGTTGGGTTTTGAGGGACCTTCAACCATAATCTATATCTACATCCTGAGGGTCCTGGTTGATGGCAAGTTGGATATGAGTCAACAGTGCCTTGGCAGCCAGGAGGGACATCATGTCCTGGGGGCGAAGCATTGCTGGGTGAGGGGGGATTGTCCTGCTCTGGGGCCTCACCTCGAGTCCTGGGGGCAGTTCTGGTCACCACAATCCAAGAAGGATCTACAGCTGTTGGAGAACATCCAAAGGAGGGACACAGAGATGGGGAAGGGCCTGGAGGCGTGGCTGAGGGCACTTGGTTTGTCCAGCTGGAGAAGAAGAGACTGAGGGGAGACTCAGCAGGGTCTGCAGCTCCTCACAAGGATCCCACAGACCAAGAAACCACACAGAGAACTGGAGTTGGGTGCAGACCCCTGAGCAGGACCTCTCCATCCTGCTCCTGCCCAGGCTGGCATGAAGCAGAGAATTTTAGGAGCAGGAGAGAGCTGTTGCTCTGATTTTCATGGAATATTTCTAAGGGTCGTATGTGCAACACTGTGGAAGGGACACAGAGCCAAAAAGGCCTCCATGGACTTGACCCACAGTCCAAGAAGCCACACAGAGAGTTGGAGTTGGTGCAGACCTCTGAGCAGGACCTCTCCATCCCAGGTTGACATGGGGCAGGGACTCTTTGCCTGCTGAAAGGTTTATTAGAGGAGAAAAGGATGAGGTGAGGCATCTTCAGCATCACTTCTGCCCTGCCAGATTGGATGCAGTGAGCAGGGGGAGAAGCATGGGAGCGAGACACTCAGAGAGGGTTTTCAAGGAGCTTCTCCTATTCATTGGTTAAAAATAACCACTGGCAGCTCTGCCAAAAGGCTCTCAGGACCCCAGAGGTCCTTGGAGCCTCTTGAAGCTCTCTCAAAATTGCTTCTCTTGTGTTAACTGAGCTGAGAATCTACCCAGGGCAAGAAGGAGCTCTTGAATGAACCCAACTGGCTGTAGGAGAGCTCCAGAGCCCAAAATATCACTGATTGGCACTTTCTCCACCTGTTTCCCCTCTTGATTCTTACAAAAACATCTTTTCTCTTGTCTGTCAATGGATCAGGAAGAGGGAATTAGTGCAAAGCCTTTGGGAATTAGTCATAAAGGTCATCTCATTAGCAAAGGGAATTAGCAATTCATTCAGGAGTAGCTTCCTCCACAAGGCTCTTCAGCTCTTGGGTTGCTTAGGGAGGAGGGTGAGGATGCAGGAAGGATATGTGTCCTCTCCTGTGGTGTCTATGGCATGAAATGGATCCAGCAGCATCCTCTTGGAGCAGCTGCATGAGGCAACTGCAGAGGCAACACTGTGGGCAGCTGGAGGGATATGGAAAAACACCTGGCAACCCTTCCACAGGTTCATGGAATGGGTTGGGTCAGAAGGACTGGGTCAGATCTGTTTTCAACCCCTGCCAAGGGCAGATACACCTTCCACCAGACCAGGTGACTCCAAGCCCCATCCAACCTGGCCTGGAACACTTCCAGAAATGGGGCAGTCATGGCTGCTCTGGGCAACCTGTGCCAGTGCCTCACCACCCTCACAGCTAGGAATTCCTTCCCAATATCTCATCTAGCCCTGTCCTCAGGCAGTGGGAAGCCATTCCTCCTTGTCCTGTCCCTCTCCAGCTCCGCGATATCCTTTTCCAAGAGAAGGGCTCAAAACTGGACACAGCCCTCAGGTGTGATCTCACCAGTGCCAAGTCCAGGGGGATGATCACTGTCCTGGTCCTGCTGACACCCTGTGCTTGATCCAGGCCAAGTTGTCATTGGCCTTCTTGGCCACCTGTGCACACTGTTGGCTCCCATGGAGCCACTGCCACCAGCACTGCCAAGTTCCTTTGTGACAAACAGCTCTTCAGCCACTCCTTCCCCAGCCTGAAGCTGTATGGGGTTGTTGTGACTCAAGTGTGGGACCAGCACTTGGCCCTATTGACCCTTACACAGGTGTCCTCAGCCCATTGATGAGTC